AAACCAATGCGGCCAGGGACTGGATTGAGTACATGCGGTTTTGTTTAGGTTTGATTTATTCTGCGGAGCCTAACATCTCGCTAATCTTAAGACTTTTGTGTATTTTAAATAAAACAACTGATCATTTTTCCCAGATCTATACGCCGTGTAAAGTCCCAAACTTAAGGACACCCTGTTCATGTTATATACTAAGTGACATATAAATCCGAACACCCAGTTTAAATGGTTTTATTTTAATAAAAATTGGTGAATGTATTTATCTTACTGTAAATAACAAGTGAAAAAATTTTCAGCCTTATCAGTTGAACATTCCGGTTTTTATACTGCTTTTTTTAATTCACTAACGCTCTAAAAATGAATATTTCAGCCGCAGTAAAGAATCAACGTTGGCGGATTTTGGTTCTTGGCATCCTTTACGATCGGTTACGATGCCTAGAGTACGGAGACCAGTACGATTTCGTCAACTTAGTGAGTTTGATAGGGGCGGTTTAGTGGGACTTCGGGAAGCTGGACTTTCTTTTCGGGCAATTGCAGTTAGAGTGCAAAAAAGTGTAGACACTGTGGTTAGGTGTTGTCAGGCATGGCTTCGAGAAGGCCGTACGCAAAGAGCAAGGGGCACTGGACGCCGCCGTAGAACAACAGACCATGAAGATCGCCGCCTAAGATTATTGGCCTTAAGGGACCGTTTCTCCACTACCAGGTCCATTGCAAATGAATGGTTTGCAGAACACGGAAGACCTATTGGCATGCGAATGAGAAGTTTTGGCTTGTTTTCATACCGGCCACACTGGGTCCTCCCTTTAACTCGAGAACACCGACGTAATCGCCTTGAGTGGTGCAGACAACGGTCACTCTGGGATCAGGAATGGAACAGTATTGTCTTTAGTGACGAGTCTCGATTTTGTTTAGGCATGCACGATGGTCGTGCCAGGGTTAGAAGGCGACGTGGTGAAAGGAGGAATCCACAGTTTTTTGTTGAAAGACATGTTCATCACACTGTTGGAGTTATGGTTTGGGGTGCTATAGCTTATGGTTCCAGGTCACCTTTAATCTTCATCAGAGGTAACATGAACGCGCAGTGTTATATCCACGAAGTTCTAGAACCCCATCTTTTACCCTATCTTGACTCCCTGGCAGATCCAACTTTCCAACAAGATAATGCCCGACCACATGTTGCAAGAGTCACAATAGACTTCTTTCAACGTAATGATGTCACATTGTTACCATGGCCACCAAGATCTCACGACTTATCCCCAATTGAGCACGCGTGGGATATGATGGGTAGGAGATTGCTCAATTTGCAACATCCTCCTCAGACTCTAGAAGCACTTCGAGAGGAGTTGGTGGTTGCCTGGAATGAGATACCACAGGAGGGCATTGACCACCTGATCAGAAGCATGCCTAGGCGCGTTGGAGAATGCGTAGCACATCAGGGTGCATCCACACATTATTAAAGGTCAAAGGGCTTTAAAGCAGTGCAATCATTTTGAAATTTTTATCATTTACTTATTATGCTTCATTAAGTACTTATACAAAATTTTATTAAAATAAAACGATTTAAACTGGGTGTTCGGATTTATATGTCACTTAGTATATTTTAGTGTACAGATTTGAGGTAAAAAGTGTTGCGACCATGCGCTCATATAAAAGTACATACTATGTTAAATATTGGAAACTGGTCAAATTTTGGTCATGCATTCATTCAAATGACAGGTTTGCCTAGTTTTACTGAGCTGAGCTTAGTTGATGGGAAATGAATTCAAATGATTATTAGTCGTGGTCCACACAGAGCAATTGGTATTTACACCAGTGTTATTAGCTTTTGTTAGAAAGGAATTCGTGATAAAAAACGAAATTTTAACGACTTCGTATATGTTTATGCTTCTAATGGAATATCACTGGAAAGATGGGCAACCGCAACTTGCGAATGGGATTTTACATGTTTAACTTAAAAATTTGACAAAGATATAAAAAAAAGTTTCAAAAATGAATCAAAATGAAGATGTGATATAGTACTGGCTACACAAGATGAGATTAAATAAACAATCACGTCGCATGTGCAGAATTGTGCTTGGTGTTTTCTCGCTATTTAAATTTTGCAGAACAGATCGCTGCGCACACTGTCTGTCTGCTGGTCAGTCGGTCTGTCGATCAGTATGCCTGTCTGTCTGTCGGTCAGTCTGTCTGTTCGCTAATCCTTGGGCCATCTATAGCTTGAGAAGTACCGCTCTGATTTTGATGGGATTTTCACGCCGGCTTCCTTCCAGTACAGACGTATAGCGTACGACATATGTCGTTTCTGTGGCTTTGCAGTGGTCAACAGCACAGACAGAGATGGAAATAATGGCTGATTGTTCTCCGCCGGTAGAACCAATGAAATCAAAGACGCGCCTCGACCGGCAGACTCATAGGCGTCGGCAACGCATTGGAACGTGTTTCGTTGAGCGATCGCATATTGTGTGTTTTTTTAAGAATTGTTGTGTGATTGTTATTGTTGTGGTTTCTGTGGTTACTGTTTTGGTTATACTTAACCATGGAGAGTACAAATGGCACGAGTGGAAGTACTGAAAGCCAGGGAACAAGTAGACGGCTTCGTTAAGCACTGAAGAGGGACGCGAAAGAAATCGTGCTCAACGTGTTCAATTATCTGAACAGAACTATGTCGCAGGGAGCTTCACTCGTGCGTTGTGAAAGTATGACAGGCGTTCCAGAGTGGACCATTCGCAGGGTGGTGCATGAAAAGAAGAACACTGGAGCTACTACTGATCCAAAGTTTAATTTGAAGGGACGAAAGGCCCTTAAATTGGATGACGATAGCAAAATGGCGTTAAGGCGAACCGTACATTCATTCTTCTTTAGGAATGAGATACCAACCCTCAAGGCTGTACATGCAGCGATCAAGGAAAATGAAATTATACCCCAAATGAGCGTCGAGGTAATGAGGAAATCCCTGCACGAAATTAATTTTCGTTACGAAACGCGTAATCGGAAGTCAGTATTGATAGAGAGACCTGAAATAGTCGCCTGGCGACGAAAATACCTACGCGAAATGATTGAATATAGGCGACAAAGCAGAAAAATCTATTATTTGGACGAGACATGGGTAAATGCAGGTCACACAGTTAAAAAAACCTGTATAGACAAAAACGTAGCGAGTAACCGACAAGCAAGCATTGAAGGTTTGTCAATAGGTCTTCGTGGACCGTCAGGGAAAGGTCAAAGATTGATCGTAACTCATATTGGTAGCGATAGTGGCTTTTTAGAAGAGTGTGACTTGATTTTCGTCTCTAAGAAAGGAGGTGATTACCATGACGAAATGAATGCCAGCTGCTTCGAGAGCTGGTTTCCAGGGGTGCTTCAGCGAGTTGAGCCCAACTCTGTGATCGTCATGGATAATGCTTCCTACCATAGTCGTCGAGCCGAACGTGTACCGACTATGGGATCTCGAAAAAGTGACATGCATCAATGGTTGCGCGAAAAAGGAATCCCGTTTGACGATTCATGTGTGAAAGCGGAATTGTATAAAAAAATTAAACAGCACAAACCTGCGAACATTAGTTACATGACTGATGAGATGGCCCGTCAATGTGGTGTCACTGTGCTGCGGTTACCGCCCTACCACTGTGAACTGAACCCAATAGAGCTCATATGGGCTCAAGTGAAGGGTTATATTGCGCGCCATAACACAACCTTCAAATTACCAGACGTTAAGGTTTTACTTGAGACTTCCATACAGCTAGTAACGCCCGAAGCTTGGCAGAATGCTATCCGTCATGTTGTGAAGGAAGAAACAAAAATGTGGCAGCTTGACCACCACATCGACACCGTCATAGAGCCAGTTATAGTCAATTTCAACGAGGAAAGCGATAGCGACAGTTTATTACTGTCAGATGTAAGTGGAAGCGACGATGAATAAAGGTAATTCCCAAATTTTTGACTTGCAATATGTTTCAAACCACTCTTTATTAAGCATGTGACAAATCTAGGTCGCCCATGTTAAACATTCATACCCCGCCTATGAACAGCCGACTACTGGTAGTTAAGTGATGTTCACGTGAACATCGATGAGTCACTACAGTTTTAGATAGTTATAGTATAGTCCATGTACCATGATGACAAAAGCGCGCCTTCTTTGTCGCTTCTAGCTCCAGCGCCCTTTCATAGAGCGCGCATCTTTCCTCAGCCAGCAAATCAATTGGCGGGATACCAGCCACCACCAGCAGTTCAACGGTCGACACAGTTCTGTAACCGTACCACGCAGCACTACTTTTCGCTGACTATGTCTTTTTCATCAGGGTCTTGTTATACATAATAGAGTCATGCTCAAGGTCATCAGGTATTTCGCATATGTTGGGAGATGTGCAATGGAGTTTTTCCCTGCCTCTTCATGCCTCTTTCAGATGTGATATCGTACTGGCGAGCTTATGCAGTTATTTGTGTACCGTTGAGTCGTTACTCTTATACCAAGGCTTGTAGTAAGCTGTGACAATAATAATCCAGCTCTATTCATACAAAATATTAAATCGCGAAGAATCGCTGAAAAATTGTTTTTCAACTTATCCCAACGTAAATATATATGTAAATTTTCGAATACTAACGGAAATAAAAAGCCTATTCATGGACATAGTCTACCTATTGGGCGATATAATCAGAGATAAAATACTTCAATCTCTTTTTGACATTCTTTATAGAGTAGCGAGGGAATAGCTGCCGTCATGTCACCTAAAACTTCCCTCGTTCCTAGAAGGCTTTCTCAATCATCAATACTGTGGTACAGTGACAGCATAATTTTTGGATTTCCATCACGAATTTTAGGGTCTTTGTGAAACCTAATGAAAGCTCATAACTTTAAAAAACCGGGTCTCTATCCAAAGCCCGCGTGTACAAAGTGCAGAAACCGCTACCGCAGGTTCACAAACCTACGTCCATTGATACAATCTACCCCCTCCATTCAAAATATTATAAACATTTATATATTACCAAACATCCACGCCCGATAACCGATCGGTGGCTATTTCACAAGTACAATACCACAACCTATATGTATATTTTTCATTTGACGGCATAACAGTGCTACCGATCGAGATGAAAAGTTCGATGTTGGCGAATGTAGTTTTCGTGCTAAGCGTTGCGGGTGTTACACATTTTATCAACGGTGATCACTTAAGTAACGAAACTAGTGTTAGTAGTGTCGGTGAATCTTCAATTGCAAGCCGCAGTATAATACTTCCAGGTAAAAATTCTTAATCAAAAATTGACAATTTTATTTTACAGAAAATTAAATATGCTTTACATTTTTTTTTAAATTCGAAAAAGTTCCTCTCCTTCGTATATAAACAAGTGAAATGTGGTCAAATCTAAAAACTATTCGGAACTGAACGCAAAACATTTTCTATATATTAAAAAATTGTTGAATATCTAAAAAATTTACCAAGTCATTTCTATTGTTTCTAAAAACCACACAACTTAGGGCGGAGTCGAAATTCACTCAAAAACATTTCCAGGATATTCACTATTTTCGTTAGTTATTTCCTTGGAAACGAACACACGATTATGAGTGACTAAGAAGGAATATTTCAACAAGGCTCTAAAATTATCAAAAATTGAAAATGGTTTTTAAAATGGACATAGTTTCGTCCTATGTAAGTTGAATAAAGAACGAGTGATTGGCAACCAAATAATTATCAATAAAAATATTCACAATGTACTTATATAAAAAGAATCACAAGTATATACTGTAAACACCTTATTCAACTGCAATACTAAATACAGCTAAAAAATATAATGTTATGGAAATGAAGTTTATAATAATGAATAAAAAAGTGTAGCAGTTAACTTTAAACTATAAGACCTTCAACCATTATTTAAACAAAAAAGGAGATGAAGAGATTACCGAAAATTCCAGGAAAGTTAAGCAATTAAATATTGAAAATGAGCATGAAAATAACAAGCGTATGAAAGGTTCACGAAGCTCACTGTAGTTTCACAGTAAACTAAATATTTATCTGATTGAGGTATTTTTAATTTATTTACGATAATCCCCGACTGTGTATATTTCGTAATATACTAGAAACACACAAGTCAAAAATCTGTAATGGTCGGGTTATAAATTTTGGAATGGATTTTCTTATAACAGTGAGTCAATGAGCCGTATTCATAAAAGGGAAGCATATCTTCGGAAGCATAAGGTCATGCTTCAGAGAAAAAGGTAGAAGTATAAGCATATCCTTGTTTTCATATTCATAATGATTACCTTATACTCGCGAGGTTATCCTCCAAGAAGAAGTAAAAGGTTGACTGGTATTTGTATCATGAGCGACATGTCCTGACTTGTTCCAGCTTGTAGTTGACGTGGGACTTATTTCAGTCAACATGACTGACATTTGTACTCCAGAGCTTACACAGATCGTTCTGTATTTTTACTGGATACAGTTTTTTATTAAATTAATAAGCATGTCATCCTCAAGTGATGAGGAAACTATGTAAGATAATGGCAACGACCTGCAGTTCATCGCAGATAAAATTGCCATTGCTCGCATTATTTTTCACAAGTTCCAAAAATAAACATGATAAAGGACGATGCCTTGAAGAAGATGTAAGAAAAAATACGAATCAACATTCGGTAAACCGTTAGATACTAAAGGCTTATTAAGAAACACCAACAACATGAAATCAAGATTGAAGAAAAAAACAGATAAAAGAAAACTGGTAATAAAGCAATTAAATATAAAAGAAAGTTGCTGAAAGCTAAGGAAAGTGACTGTAATCCTACAATTGAGAAAATTAGAGGTGCCATTCAGGATTCCTATATGTATCAATTACACCAATTGCTGTTGGAAATTTATACATGCTTTGCCATATCCGCTTGGCATCCATCAGTTCATAGTTGGTAGTTGGAAACTTGATCGACTGCGCAACTATGCTGTTCACAACTCTATCCACAGTCCGAGATACCGTTGCTTGACTAACACCAAGTTCCTGACCAATACCTTGTTGATACCCAGGGTCACCAAGATAGCGTAGACATATCTTCATTTTATGAATACATGAAAGTGCTCCTACTCGAGTTTCCTCATTCTCAACTAAAAATCTGCCCGCAAGCCATTGTACATTTGCTTCGTCGAACCGATATAATTTTTTGAAGTCACTACCAAGTGAAGGTAAACGAGGTTTGTACGTTTTAACATCCCTAACATCTACAATTTCCGCCATCATCGCTTGACCACCTTTCGTTACGGAGTTGATTCTGCTAGTGACCACATTGAGAATTTTTGAAGGATATGCGTCCTATGCCAAGCATCAGGTGAAGATTCGGCATATCCTTGTACCTATGTCACTGCTTTGAAGGATATGCTTATACTCAAAAAGCAAAAGTATTTACTTCAAATTATTATAAATACCATCTGGAGGATTTCCTTCAAAATTTGCAAGTTCAAGGATATCGTTTGTTTTATGAATACGGCTTAATGCTTTTTTGAGCCTTGGCATTGAAAACAGTTCATGTAACATCAAGGTCGAGATCGTAATTCTTTTTTCTATATATTCATGTAGTTTGATTAACCATAATTTGCATAATGACATTTTTACGGGCGTCATTTCAATGTATCCTGCGCCATTTGAACATTAAGCACTCATATAATCACTTTTAACTATATTGGCCAAACGTCATTAAAAAAATTTTAATTGATGTAGTTTTGTGTATTATTTGCCAGGATAAGCGCGATTTATATTTAAATGCCCTTTACATATTCACTGGTTCTCAGAATATGGCAAAAACCCATGTTTCATCTGATTTTCACATTATAGGTGACTTATCAAATCCAAATATAGTTGAGGGCAAAAATTTATCAACGATACACGACAGTGAAAATATAAATAGTTATAGTTTGGACCAGAATATCTTCACCCATGAAAGAAATGGAGATCAAAAACTGAAAATTGTCAGTGAAAGCGCACATGTGATATCCGAGCTTGCAAATACCAAAAAACTGTCATCGGAAAAGATCGGGAGTACTAAAGTAGAGCAGTCATCCACGGTTGAAGCAGGCAATGATTTGGACTCAGGGAGGCAAACAATCTCCAACACAAATAAACCAGATGTTTCTGAGCATCCCAAAGCTACCAAAAAACAGCCGCCTCAGCAGCTCAGAAATACCTCATCAGCTCAATCATCTACGAGTCTTAAAACTAACGTAGCGTCGAGTAGTACTGAAAAAAGAACGCGAAGAACAAGTAGCAGTAGAGGTAGCAACTTTTCAGAAAAACTAAAAGGGTGGCAACCTTTGTATGGAATTGGTAGACTAGGTAGAGAAGCTTTAGACACAAAATGCAGGAAGGAGCTACAACAGCTAGTGGAAGCTATTGAAAATAAAAAAGTATGGGCCCTGAAAGGTTAGTAAAAATGAAAAATTAAATACCATCTAAGATCAAAATTTCATTGAACTTTGGCACTGACTTATGTACATATTGAATTCTCATAAGCAATATTGTTAACGCTATTTTTATTATTAAAAAACTTGTTCTGTACAGCACAATTTGGAGCAATTTGTCCGAAAAAAAAAAATTGAAAAAAATGTGTAAAAGATATAGGTAAATATAATTAATTTCCTTGTGTCATTTGCTATTCTTCATACATTATAGTGAATTGTTTTATTTTGTGGAAATATAGAATAACAGTAGTTTTAAAAACTACATAATATATGGGAAGCGATGGCTTTGTAATCCGTACATAATAATTTAAACCCAAATTGTATCAATTATAATTTAAAAATTACGGTGCTTCCATAAAGTTCTTATGAATCACTTTGAGAAAAACAAAATAATGTGGATGCATTAGATTTAGCAAATAAACATATATGTTTTTTCATAAGCGGATGTATTTATAATTGGAAATGCCTGAAATTTGTATGTACATGTTCAAGGCATATATTCACGCATGTCTTGGGGAAGTAACTTGTATCTATTCTATGCGATAAAATATGTAGGATGATTCATTTAAAAATTGATATGGGGCTCACTAATGTCAAAATCGACCGCTCCGAGAGGGAATAGCAGCTATCTCTTGAAACTGCAATACCCTCTCCAGACTCACGAGCGGATCATGGCGTGAAATCGCGGTGCGAATCCAGAAATTTGTTCCTACAGTTCCCACGCGCCTGCGTCACAGTATACGAGTAGTTCGCGCTCTTGACGAGTATGAATGGTGAAATTACAATTGCTGCTGCAGGGCTACTTTGCGCTTTGGCAATTTATAATCACGCATATACAGGGTGACTTGTAATGTCACGTATTCTTGTTAAGGGGTGATAGATTAGGACAAAAGCAACCGATTTTGTCCTATCCAGAAGTTTTGAGTTATTTGAATTTTATTTTTTTTATTTTTTATTCCGATTTCAGACGGTTAAATTTGAAATACAAAAAACTACATGTTTGATTTTGAGTTTTTTGTTATCGTCGCATAGCGGACATTCCAATAGTTCATAATAAGTAATAAAATGTTGAAAACTTTATTACTAATTACGCTTTTGAAATGTATGATTTTCTTATTTATTTACTAACTTATTCGATAAAAAATGCAATTTTCTGTAAAAAATCTCCTAGTAATGAAATGTGCCAATTATTTAAATAATATCTCTATCTAACAAGCTTTCATTTGAGGTATAAAAGTTACAACTAACTCAAGTAGAAAGACAAAATTAAAAAAAGATGAGTAAAGTTGTACGATCGATAATTACGTAGGATAAATAAAAGGCTTTTATTTTAATTACAGTTTTATTTAATTACATTTCCTTTAGTATTTTACAGATTCTGCTCAAATTGTAATCCCCTGTTACGAATACACGCCCGCATTCTCTTACGTAATTCACTTTTGGTAACTCTAGTTGTTAAGCGGCTTTTTATTTGGTCAGCTGCACGGATTATCCTTGTAATTAATTCATGGCGCGTTGGTACGGGCGAAACATCGTACACCAGGCTTTTCATATGTCCCCACACAAACATAGTAATCCATAGGTGTGAGATCTGGGCTTCTTGCTGGCCAGGCAATGGGCCCGCCTCTGCCAATCCATTGATTTGGAAATTTTGAGTCTAAATACGCCCGTACTAATCTACTGTAGTGTGCGGGACAGCCGTCGTGCTGGAACCGCATATTTTGTCTCGTCGCCAATGGAACGTCTTCCATTAATGGCAACAAGTGATTTTTCAAGAACTCTTCATACACTTCTCCATTTAAATTGGCGGGCAGAAAATGAGGTCCAATTAAATATCCATCAATGATGCCCATCCACACATTGACTGAAAACCGGCTCTGAGACCCCGTCGGTCTTATTTTTCGGGGGTTTAAAGCTTCTTTACCAGCCCAGTAATGAGCATTATGGTAGTTAGTGATCCCGTCCTTATCAAACTTCGATTCATCGGTCCACAGAATTTTCTTAAAGTAGTCTGGATCTTCTGTATCTGCATGTAACATGTACCTGCAGAAATCTAATCGTCTTGCAGGATCGCCCTCTTCAATCACATGCACAGGCGTGTAGTGATAAGGGTATAATCTTGCAGTATGCACAGTAAACCATACTTTGTATTGTGATATACCCAACTGAGCAGCCACAATGCGCGTAGACGTAGTAGGGTCTTCCTGAAACACACGAAGGATTTCCTCTTCATCTTCAGGAGGATAGACTCTGGGTCGACCAGCATCACTATGTTGCCTTTGAACACGTCCGGTTTGGCGGATGCGCCGAGACACAGAGTCAAACACAGTAACATAAGGTGTTCGGCGATTCGGGACACGTTGCCGATATTCACGGCGGGCAGCAGAATCGCCGTTACAAAGTCCATAACAGAACATTATGCCTGCGTATTCTTCATTTGTAAAAGTTTGCCCGTGCTCGCTATGGGGAGGTCTTAACGGATCTTCTGCGTCTGCCATGATGATAAAGAAACCACTCGAAATGAACTGGGAAACTCGAAAATAATAATCGTGCTTAAAACGTGTGCGCGTACGCAATAGTTGATACCAACTAAACCTAATTCTCACTCGGCGTGCGGCGATGGCGTAACTACAATGATGAATAATAACAGCTCTCTCTCTCTCTCTCTCTCTCTCTCTCTCTCTCTCACTCCTCCACTAAGTCAGCTCTTCTCGCTCGTTTCCTCGTCGAGCCGATGCCATGGCATGCGAGTCCTTTGAGGACAGTAAAGACTTCTTCAAACAGGTAATACAAATTCCTTAAAAATCCAGCCTCTGTGGGTGTCATTGTTGTTTCTCTGCATGTACTTCAGATAATTGAACGCTTGATACCTCAAATGGAAGCTTGTTAGATAGAGATATTATTTACATAATTTGCACATTTCATTACTAGGGTCGCGGGTAATTTGCGGTTTCGCGCGCGATTCACGAGTGAGTCTTGAGATGGCCTAAGGGTATATCAAATCGCGTTGAAAGCCGAGTGTGACCGCTTGATGCCACCGATTCTGGCAATACTGTGAATTAGAGTCTACATTCTCCATTGAAAACTAATAATGCTCCTTTAATAACAACATTTATTATCCATCTGACATGAAATTACATATATTGGATTTGTCAAAAGTCAATACTTACAAGCTAATGAAGCCACAGTCGTCGTCCGTCCGACAAACCGAAGACCAGCTGCATACAACTGTCTCATGCTTATTGGCAATGATCAGCACGGTCTAGGCTCGGTCTCTTAGTAGGAAGGAGGTGTGGTTCTAGATGGCAGGTCGTATTTGGATAGACTTTATACCTCCGGGATATCTTGCTCTGCTTTTGTTCGTTGTCCTACCTAGTCACCAGGCCTATACCTTGCCGATGATTGCCAATAAGCATGAAGCAGATGTATACGGTTAACTCACGGTTCTTCGGATGGACAAAAGTGTTATTCTCAGCTCAGCAATGAGTACATTTTGTAAACGATGAAAAGGTTGCATAAAACTTTTTCGTTTCACATTTTTAGATTAGTTTGTTTGGTTTGACCTTTCATACTTTTCTCTGAACACATCTAAGCGAAATTATAGTATGCATTCCGTTCAGCAATGAATGATTTTCTTCATATTTGAATCATTGTAGCCTTGGACGCCAGTGGTACGCCAGAACCAGGCTTCTTCTACGGCAACAACCTGTGGATAGGCTCCCATTTCCAATGCGTGGATATCTCGAACAGGAAGCCGTTCGAAGTGAACAAAAATGTGCCGCACGCTGCACCGACTCCTTATGACTATCCACCATTCCAGATGGCGTTCGCTATGGTATACGCCAGACACAACAGCACTTTGCAGCAACATACGCAACTGCCTTCCGAGGTAACACCCCCTGAATGCTGTTTATAAGACGACAGATCCATTTTCACTTCCCTTGCCAAAACTTTCAAAACTAAGATACGTTTTTTGGATGTTATATGACATGTATATCACTTATTTCCATCGGTCTGTCCGTTAATTTTATAACCGCCTATAACTTGATAAGTACCGCTCTGATTTTGCTGTAATTTGCACAAGGTTACTACCATGCCAAGGATGAAAAAGCTTTGTAGTTTTTGAAAATCGGTATCGCTTAAACTTGGTTTTTTGAAGTTTCAGAAGCTCCTGATCATTTTCTGATTTTACCCAAAGTGAGATTCTACTCGACCCTCTCAAAACCCCCTCCCTCCTCCCACCACCCTCCGAACACCTTACGCAATTAATGGACGCCCGCTTGGTGTGCCCTTTTGCTCCTATCCTAGCTAATTTCCATCACCTCCCATTTTTTCAGACGCCACGATGTTTCTGTGACGTGTCATCTTACCTTTTGGTAGAAACACAGTGAGACATCACTATAGTGTGTGTATAATATGCTAAGGTATCACAGCTACCTAAAATGTGGTCGGAAGAGCCATCATCGCCCACAAAGCAGATTATCAGTAGCCCTCGTGAGATGGAAGTAACACGTCAACGTGTTGTGACTAGTTAGAAGTCTAATCAAGATCAGCGAACAAGGCCACCCATTAGGGGGACATATGCCCCTCTCCCTGGCTTCCGCTTAAGGAGAAAAATGTTCTTAACAGACTACCCGTTTCTTGGACAACGAGTGGCATGTGTGTTTTTTACTTGTTAAAACATCCCGACGTAGAAATTATTTGTTCTCCCCCTGCTTTAAACAGCTAGCAACTCTACTTCGAGCTGATCCACTGGATCTGCAAGCCTTACATGCCCACCAGTTATTTCTAACCAAAAATGGATGGAAACATCTCTCCGTAACAATATTGGAAGTTGCACATTGGAAAGACCAACTTCTTCAATAGGGGTTCTTTGTGGTTTCTTCGGCTTAGTAAAAATCTTCGGAATGATCTTCTTGTAGACAAAACAGCAAAGTAGCAGCAGCAGTATTCCATACAACAGGATTGTCCAAGAACTGGGAATGTGCGACACCTTATGTGAATGGATGTCAACACGATTTTCTATTAATCTTCTTTTTACTTTGTGAACTTCATCAAATTCTATTTGGTCCAGATGAAGGCCGAAGTCATTCGGCTTGGTAGCAAGTATTGGTATCGATATTTGGAAAAATAATTGGCTGACTTAAAATCGATATACAGGGTGTCCCAGAAGTCGACGTCAAGCCGAAACCAGGTGATAGGCAAAGTCATAACAGCTATCAGAAAAATATTTAAAAAATTTTTATGTATGTGTTTTGAAAATTATAGGTCTCGTGCTCCATCCATACCACATACAGCGTGTTCAACCTCTCCTGCCCCGGGATTATGAGCCCCGAGTTGCTTTTTGTCGCACAATGTTAGAAAGACACAGGAAAGATCCACAGTTCTTTGAAAAAATTTTATGGTCGGATGAGACCACATTTAAGAAAGATGGGTACATGAACCTGCATAACTTACACGAGTGGCACGTAGCAAACCCACATTTGTTGAGAGAAGATAAATCTCAATATCGCTTCAAGATAAACCATTGGACAGGAATTTTAAATGGTAAAATAATCGGTCCGTTTGAGTTCCCAGAGACTTTGACTGCTGAAGTTTATTTGGATTTTTTGAAAAATCATGTACAAAATTTATTGGTGGACGTGCCACTGAGTATTTACAGGGACATGTGGTTTCAGCATGATGGCTACCCAGCGCACTATGCACTCTCAGTGAGAGAGTATCTCGATCAAAACTTTCCAGGCAGATGGATAAGGCGGTCTGGTACAATACCGTGGCCAGCCCGATCACCTGATTTGAATCCTTTAGATTTTTACACTGGGGAACTGTAAAACAAAAAGTGTATTTCAAGCCGATTCAAAATGTAGCTGAGCTACGGCAGAGACTATTGGAAGCAGCTGAGTTTGTTAATAACCGTGGATTCGCTCGTTTAATAACCCGATCTTTTTTAAGAAGATGTCGAGCGTGTATTGCGGCTGAAGGAAAACAGTTTGAGCTTTTGCTGTAAAGGTAAATCATCATCAGCAGCATTTTGATGCCCACTGTTGTGCAAACAGTTATCCTTAAGGGTCCTTGTGCGTTTTCATAATCGCTGTTTAATTAGGAAATTTTGAAAAATTTTCATGAGTTTTTTTTCAAATAAAAATTGTGCATAAGTTAACGAGTAATCTTCTAAGTGTTATACCATTTTGGAATCGTTATTAAATGCGCCAACTTTTAAGGTTACTTGCCAAACTCTCGTAGTACATTTTTTTCGAGTACAGCCAGTTAAAGTTGAGCAAAGTTTTACTTTGGAATACTTGGTTGGGAAGTAAGTGACAATTTTTCCTGAACGAGAAAAGTTGGCAGTAAGGTTGAGACACCAGTTTGAAGATGCATTATTCATCATTACATTGTAAAAATAAAATCCAAAAAAAGTTAATATTTGTAGTAACAGGAGTTGACAGACTGCCGTAGGGTGTGAAATTTCTATATCTTTTTCAAAGACCTATAATTTTCAAAACACATACATAAAATTGTTTTAAATATTTTTCTGATAGCTGTTATGACTTTGCCTATCACCCGGTTTCGGCTTGACGTCGACTTCTGGGACACCCTGTATATGCTCTTGATTGGCGATCAGGTCTTGATTTAGTTCCAGTGTACAACCGACTGGAATTTCGGCTTAGGATCCCAAAACTTTGACTGTTTCTTGACAGCTTAATGTAATGGTGGTTTGTGGATTGTCCGAAATCATGCAGTTTCTTCATTACTGGCTCTGTAATTACGGCTTCTACTTCTCGGCAGGTAGTGGGAGTTTTTTGTTTCAGGAGTTGAACTTCACAGGGATTGGATTCTTTGATTCTTCTTAAATCTAGTTCCTTGCAAACGTACTGTTTTGCGACCGTTTCCGTGCATGCGTGTCCCGCAAAAACGAAGTACAACTCATTCTTTACAAGATATTTTCCAGAAGGGATGAAAAATTTGAACAGACGCTTATGAAAGGTTGGAATTGAATATAAGTGATAATAATCAAATTGGAATGTACGAACAATTGGCATTTGAAGAATGTATGTTATTTTTCTATCAACTGTATATCAGCTGATTTTAATGAGCTTTTCGAAAATTGGGATATTATCCAAAGTAACTTCTAAAGGGAGTGGATAGTTTTAATACCACTGAATTTAGTGCTTGAAGTAAATGTTGTGGTTTGATTACACTGGGGTGCATAATTCCCACTATTGCAAAAGTAAGTGAGTTTTCTACATCCTGGAGCACTGATGGTATGATAGATATTCATGATCTCTGAGATGATATCTCTCAAGAAAATGCCATTTTCTATGTAGGCTTGTGCGTTAATCATAGCTATTCAAAGCTGATTTATTTTAGCTTCCAATAGCTTTTGGTTATGGGTAATCTGACTTACAGTTTTATTGAAATTATCGATAAGTTCGACAGATAAAGTATTCTGACTATTGATAGCTTCTGATAACTTGTTTTGATTATGCTGCAAATCGCTTATTAGAGACTAGAATTTTTCACGATCTGGAGCATCCAGGTTTCCTGTGATTGCTTTGAAAATTGAACCTAAGCCGTTTATTAATCCCCTTTTAATTCTAATAGAGAATGATGGAAAAGTTTCGTAAAATGTCATTTAGCTTTCCGTCTACTTTTCTTTCTAAGAAATACAAAACATTAAGGTAATTTGCCGAGTGTTTATAGTGCTCAATATATTTCCTGGATAATTTCGCAACATTGTCGGTTTTTTCTTAAGGTCATTAACTTCAGTGATTATTAAATTGACGTCGTAAAAATACAGTATTGAGTGACAATTTTTTGTAATTTTGGCAGTCCCTAATTTCATGGGTATCAACCCTAGGTTATTTTCTAAATTCTTCAACGTTATCGTACCATGGATTCCTATGATTCCTGGGAACCTGTAAAATAGTATGTTCGAAAGAAAATCTTATTTTTAGCGTGCAATTAAGAATAAAGTAAACGTCGATTACATACATAGTTTCTTATCTAATTGCTCGAGGCTTAGTCAAACGAATAAAGTTTGCGAAGCGGACGTTTCAAATTACTTATATGCACTTTTCCGTGCTGGTCCGTCGTGACGGTCTTTTTCTCCATATTAACACTTTGTAGTCTACACGGCTTTGAGAATTTGTGGGCGTGTTTTTTCTAACATGCTTTTTGACATATACTGTTTCTCGGTTATCAAGTATAGTCGGACTTTCGCAATCTCTGTTAACGCGTTCTAGCGTTTTCTCTTTGTTTTGAACGAGATCAGAATTTATTTTTGAATACAATAGCTTTGTACGCTCTTTGTGGCATTTTAGAAATTCAGATAAGTGTTTTTTCCTTTTGCTGTATGCTTTACAACTTTCTGAATTTTTCTAATGGTAGTCAAACATCTTTGTGGATAGGTAGCAACTTAAAATATTCCGAAAATTTGCTGTCTTTAAATTAGGACATATTCACAGACATTATGGAGCTCAACCATTTTGTTTTAACAAAGCCTATCTTGAATCATGGAAAATTTTAAAATAAGCATAGGTGAATGGCCTGGGAAGTACCGAGTCAATCTACCTGCCACTATTTTTTTCCGAAAAAAAAATGTATCTACCATCCATAGCGGAAAATGATTTTAATTTTACGAAATGTTCAGCCTCCTAAGACAGTACCATGCTTAATAGTCAAAGTAGCCTCATAGAAATCCTAAAATATTATAATAATTTTTAATTTTAAAAAGCTTCTTTCAGCTGTTGCAGCTGTTATAGGAAGCCGTGCAATCTAAGGTTTGGCGCTTGAGAATTTTTAATTGGGGAGCCGTATCAGCGATACGGTACGAAATTATGATCATGTGTTTGACAGCAAGGTCCCATCAAAAGTAATTTCAAGGGTCGAAGTTTATTTAGAATTAGACTCTTGATGCTGCTCTGCAATATCGTTTCTAAGCCTTCATTCTTTTTGAACAAAACAACCAAAAATCATTATGCCTTATAAAGTTAGCTTCCTGTTCATAACAAGTTACGTTTTCTTTGTGCTTCCAGTGGACTGTACAACTCGGATTATGTATCCCAAAATCTTGTAGCAGTGATGATCTCAAACACTTATCAAAAAAGTATTTTTCTGAAGACAGTCTAGAATTTCAGGACATCTACAAAGTGAAACTTGATGTTCTTGATGTTAAGAAACTAAGAGAAGATGCTGGATGGGTTTTCATGTCGCCGAAAACAATAATATTCTTGTAAGTATTTTCTTTACTTTACCTATTTTTGGACAACGAAAGTTTTTGAAAATGGAATGTTTAACAAAATCTGTCATCATCTCATTTCTTTTGTAGTATTCTGAATAGTATTCGATTACTACCCAAGGCTGAGTATTCCTATGTCTAAAAAATGATTTTTGTTACAGAGTTATTTTGATTATTACGCTGTTGCTTTGCATCGTGGGTACTATCTTAGATGTAAGGAGGCATAATAAAGAAAAAAATCTAATCAGTGGACATAATGCTGGTATTACTATGAATGAAAAATGCGTCACTACAAACAGTATGTCCCCTGTCTTCCAAACTCATATGTTTACTTCATACGCCACTGGGCGAGAAAGTATTGTAATCGCAAATTCCTTTGTGAACTGATGACAGCGTTGCATAAGAAATGCAGAGTAAACTTGATTTTACTTTTCTTGAGGTTTACTAGTTAAATTCTAGAGTTTAAATAATTCATCATTAAATATGCAAAACGTTTATTATGAATTACATATATTTTAACATGTTCACTACTTTTCGAAGTTTGAAACAATCCATACAATTTTCTTAATCTTCCAGTTACAACAGTCGAGCTAGTACCACCCGGCTTGGACAGCGAACTCTCAAATCGTGAACCAAGCTCGTTAGAAAAAATCCTAGTATGTTTCTCAGTGTACACAAACACAAAGAACCTGATGAAAACGAAGCTAGCCTCAGACTCAATCGGATGCATCCACGGTCTCAGATTTTTGGGCATGCTTTGGGTCATCGCGGTGCATTCGATATTCTACCAAGTCGATTTCTTCAAGGACCCAGCGGTTGGGTTCAGGGTTTCCGAGCAGTTTTTCTCGCAGGTTTTCAGCAATTCCTCGTACTGCGTTGACACGTATTTGGTAATCAGGTAAGCATACAATCTCCCCTATATCGCTGTATTCAAGTTTGATATCCGTTGTCTATAGGTAGAGATGCACTCCCATCAGAGATAGACGTTTATACGAGCTTTGCCTCTAAGAATCCTCCAAGGACTCTCGCCTTAAAGCTTTTTCAAGGAATTGATTTTTTCTCACGAACGTTACCCACTAGTATCTGGCCCATTAATTTTTTTTATATTTTCAGTGGCTTCTTGGTAGGGTATTTGTATTACAAAGCAAAAAATCCTCATGCAGAAATGAAAAAAAAGATCAATTATATGGGAAAGATTAACGAATTTTTCCAGATGTATATTAACAGATACTTACGGTAAGTTTTTACTGAGTTTCTCACAAATGGTCGGTCACACATCTTACTTAGAAGTATACCGAACAGTCAAATATATAGACAAGATATTTAAAAAATTGATGGAATTCCAATTTCGATGCAACGTTTTTAATCAAGTTTCTTAAGGTCACTTTTCTAACCATTTATATTACGAGTATAGTTATACAGGGTTTGTCCGGAAAGTAATAGGACTCATTTTCTTCCGCCATGACTGTACTTCAGAGTGTGCGCGCACCGACTGGATTCGGTAGAGTGCGTTCCTAGCTAACGAATGAGCGACTGGTCAGTTGTCTCCGAGCACTTGGAGAGTCAGGACAGGCATTTTCGCGCGACGTGTTTCTGTGGGTGGTGCAAGCCGAAAATGCAGCGTTCGTTAGAGCAGAGGTACGCGATTAAATTCTGTGTGAAACTCGGTAAATCTGCGACAGAGACGTTTGATATGATCAAGCAGGCTTACCCAGGTGTTGCTTTAGCAAGAAGTGATGTGTTTCGGTGGCAGCAGGCCTTTTTGGGGGGCCGGGAAGAGGTCGCTGATGAAGACCGTGCTGGCAGACCTTCGACTTCGACAAACACCGATAATGTGAGTCGTGTGCGCAAAGCTTTGAACTCAGACCATCGACTAAGTATTCGTTTGATTGCCCAGATGATAAATTGAGCAAAATCTGTGGTTCATGACATTGTGACACAGCATTTGAACATGCGAAAGGTGTGCGCGAAGATGGTCCCAAAAGTGCTCACTGACGACCAGAAATTGCGGCGAGTGGAAGTGTGCCAAGAAAATTTGAACACGTGTGAAAGTGACCCCCAATTTTTGAATAACGTAATCACAGGTGACGAGTCGTGGATCCTTGAGTATGATCGCGAGACAAAGAGGCAATCTTCCGAGTGGCACACGACGGCGTCTCCTCGCCCAAAAAAGGGAAGAATGAGCAAATCCAAAGTGAAAACGATGCTCATTGTCTTTTTTGACATCAAAGGCATCGTTCACCATGAATTTGTTCCTCCTGGACAAACCGTCAACGCCAAGTTTTACGTAGAAGTGCTCAGGAGACTCAAACGAACGGTCAGTCGGGTCCGACAAGACATCGCAGCCGACTGGAAGTTGCACCACGGCTCACACCGTCTTTCTTGTAAACAGCTACCTGACCAAGGCCGGCATCCCAACGCTTCCGCAGCCGCCCTACAGCCCAGATGTGGCCCCCGGACATTTTTTGTTTCCTCGCCTGAAAAGGCCGATGAAAGGCAAACATTTTGAGACCACAGAGGGGATCCAAGCAGCATGCTCCGCGGCTCTCAAGGCTATTCCGGAGAATGCCTTCCGTGACGCCTTCAATGCTTGGAAATCGCGCTGGCAGCGCTGCATCGACGCAGAAGGAGCCTATTTTGAAAGTTTTTAAAGAATTGTAACGATTGGCCCAATATTTTTTTTTAAATCGACTCAGTCCTATTACGTTCCGGACAAACCCTGTATGTAAAATGAAATAATGTCAGAAGAAACCACGGATTTATCAATTCTCGAGCTAGGCTAGATGATGAGTTTCCTTCAAATTTTGCAGTAAAGATTTAGTATACCTCATGTTTAATAATATCGTAAAATATCAAGATTCTGAAGATGCTGTGAGCTCTTAGTAACCAGCGATCGCTTATATATTTTTGAAAATCGTATTTTGCGACAATTATAATGAAAAAAAAACAAGAAAAAGGTAAAGCATCCCAAATTTCGTGATTGTAGATTTTTAGAGATAACAATTTTTACTTAGGAACTATAAACGCGAATAAAAATGACAAAAAATCTTTGCAATTTTTGAAAATTGGTCAAGTAGCGGTGGAGCTAGAGACAAAAATATTAAAAAAATGATTGCTCAAGCTTAGTTTTTTTGACGCTTCAGCGGATTCTCATCATTTCCGAAAATAATTTTTGCAATGGTTAAAAATTGTATGTTGGGAGGTAGGGGAGCATCTATATCAATTCTTTGATGCCAGCAATTCACACGTTTATAGCCCCAGTAATGTTATGCACCTATTAGACATATTTAAAAACACTAATGATAGATACGTATTTTCAATATACATATACGCGGGGCGGATAACGCAAGGAGCGTACGTATGTCTGCTTCGAATGCTGAGGTCGCAATGTTGTCAAATCTGTGAGCCTGTTCACTGACATGATCCAATAAATTCCTTTGTTATACTTTTTTTCTAAAAGCGACTAACTTGAGTCGAATTTAATAATTTATGAATTGATGAAAGCATTGCATAGGAGGTGCAAAGTCAACCATTTTTTAAAATGTGATTAAACAACCATATAAACAACATTTCACACCGTCCTCTAAATTCCATCACTTGAGGGCGTAGTCACAGATAATTCTTCGTAGACGTCTCAGAAACCATGGTTACTGTCAAGAAATATACTTGTATACGATTTCAATACGTCAAATAAAATCTTTTTTTTTAGCTTGACGCCTCCGTACATCATCTTGATCATATTCGCAGAGTACATTTACACATACTACAAATATTCCTCATCGCTAACTTCCTTCGAGAAGCAAGACCAACTGTGCGAAAAGTACTGGTGGAGAAATTTGTTGTACATCAACAATTTGTATCCTAGGTCCGAGATGTGTCTCAGTTGGTCATGGTACTTATCTTTAGACACTCAAGCGTTTATGGTTGCTATTGCCTTGCTTATTTTGTCCACTGTGTAAGTACGATTTTAGTTGCAATCCTTCCTATAAGAAATTGGGTACCCGGACGTGTGGGCGTGTATATATATGTGCATTCATTTCGGGCCTCATAAAGCCAACCAGCAGAAATACGCTCGGGTTACCTATCCTATTTTCTGCTCGAATCCACTTTCCTCCTTTTTGCGGATTTTGCCCACTGTTTTCCTACTTTTTGATATACACCTTAGGAAAAACCATTGTTATACATGGGAAATCATTTCTTGGCAACAGCGCATCGGCTCGTCTACTTTCATCGCTATTCGTACATATTTCCTACCGTTAACCGCAGACCTGTATCACGAATGAGAATAATAGGCAGATACGCTGTGTTGCCAATTTGAGTAGAGCTTCCCGAATTGTGGGGAATTGAGAGTTAAGTGTTGATTCATTCAAGCTTTTAATCAGCATGGCCTAGACGTTAGAACTTCATAAAGATAACATTGAAGCTGAATGCTGCTGGAGTATAGTGTTTCGAATATTCAAAGCGGAGCGGGACACTATACTCGTTCAATGGGTCATCAAGCCACAGTCTTTTCAACAAAGAAATTATTATACGTAAATGCGTTATATTTTTACGATTTTGTCGTCACCAAATCTCCGTTTCTCAAAATGTACGTCTATTGTAGAATTTTCAGCAAACTAAGCAAGAAACGTGATCTAGTATTTACTCAACATTACGGATTTCTCGAAATACATTAAAAAATGTGACCTAGATACCTAACTGCCCCAAGCTCTTTAAATATAACACCTTAAACCAGGGTTACCAGGTGCTCAGTCACGTTGATTGTCATGTTGTACTGCGCAAGTCAGCAAACAATCTGGCGTAATAAACGTTAGGAATCATCAGGTATTGCCAGATTCCTGAATACCGGGCACCATAGTAACCGTTATAGTTGTCCTTCAAAGTTGTCAAATCGCCCTTATGGCGCAAATTCGCCACACCAGGCAACTATGCTATAAACAAACCCTGTTTATCACTACTATTTGATAGTCATATGGTAGTTGTAGCCCTATCTAGCGGTCCATGATTTCTCTCAATACTGTTGTATCTCTACTGGCAACAAGAATAGGGATTACAAAATCATTTATACAACAATATACAAACATGAAAAATATGATTTGAACCACGAAACATTAATACAATTTTAATAGTTTGAACTTTTTTCATTTTTGGAATACTCTTATGTGGAGTCCGCAGTTATTTTTCCCGAAATTTGGGTAGACTTAGAGATCTTAGAAATATGACATATTGGTATCGGCAACTCTGCGAATGGGAGAAACAAATCGCATTTGTTGAGCGCATCCATCTAAGCGGTAGGCGCCAGCGCCCGTTCTGCCATCTCTCTCTTTTATCACTCTTCAACTCTACCCCGTTGTCCGTCACACTGCGACGCTGCCGATAGGATCCTACAATCGAGTGTCTTTCACGCACCTACATTCTTTTGTATATTTCCATCTCTCTTCCTCATCATAATGTACAATAATGGTTTTTCCCAAGGTGTATACCTTTCTCCGCATGATCATTTCTTTTATATATATATAAAATGTATAGTAGTATAGTTGGACCAGCGAAAGATTGCAAGCCGAAAGAATGCGGACAAAAAATTGCGAAGTTGTCAGATGTTCTACATAAAATGCGGTCCATACATATTAACATATTTAAGATATAGAATTGTTCCGCTGAATTTGGCAATGTAGCTGGAAAACCCAGGCCGCAGGTAAACATCCGGTCGCTGATTGGTCCAAAACTCTTATCTTATCTGAAACTAGAATAACGTGCCGATGGCACGGTCATTTATAAACCTACTCCCATAGGCGTAGGCAGTTGGCAAATACTTTGAAAATATAATTTACTGTTTAGTGGTGATAATGGAATTCAAGCATGGGAAAGTTATTCACAGCCAGGCAAGGGAAATAATAGCAAACGTGATACGTGCTTGCGATGCAGAAGCGGCTAACAATACTTTCGTTTATCCACTGGTAGCTAGAAATGCAAGGGCGGCATATTATACGGGTGTTAGTGAACGAACTATAAGTAAAATTAGAAAAGAAGATAAAGACAGGCAAAATGCAACCTCCACACAGCCTTTAGCTTCTCCCGGAAAAAAGAGATCACGCCCTTCTGTGATCCAAAAAATTGATGGAGTCGATTTTTCCATTATTCGGAGAATGATAGAAAAATTTTACTGTGATTTTAAAGTGGTACCTACTTGTAGTAAACTTCTAATCAAACTGAAGGAAGAAATGGAATTTCCATTTGGTAAAGAATCGTTGAGGCTGCTTTTAAAAGCAAAAGGATTTTACTGGCGTAAATGCCACAACAAAAGGAAATTACTAATGGAAAGACCCAGTATTTTACATTGGCGATACAAGTATCTTAGGTCTATTAAAAAGTTCCGGGAAGAAGGAAGGCATATTATTTATTTGGACGAAACTTGGGTTGATAATGACCTCACTTTCAAGAAATGCTGGCAAAGCGAAGAAATTATGGGTGTCCTGAGCAATATAAGTTCTACAGGTAATAAAGTTTCTTTCACCTCGATTTTGCTTATTATACATTTTTCTCAATTTTGGAATATTCTTAATAAGTGCTCATTTAATTTGTCTAATTGAATACATAATCCCTTGCAAGTATTTTTTTCTCAAAAATATGTTTTTTATACATAGTGATTCAAAAAGGTGTTGGCAAACTTAAAATAACACTAAAATGAGGCTATTTATTCATTTCCAGGACGACTTATAATTGTTCATGCGGGTTCGCAAGATGGTTTTGTTCCTGGAGCCTGTCTCATTTTCAAGGCTGGCTGTGCCACTGGTGATTATCACGGTCAAATGAACCAAGAAAATTTCACGAAGTGGCTTACTGAAAAACTATTTCCTAACATTCCTCCTAATAGTATTATAATAATGGATAATGCACCTTACCATTCAGCTTTGGAAGACAAGCCTCCAACTAGATCTTCTCTAAAAAGAGACATCATCACGTGGTTGAGCAAAAAAGGTATAGAGCATGATCCTAATGCTAAAAAAATGGAGCTTTATGAAATAGCTTGTCTACATAGGCCACCATCTGATGAGAAAAATTATAAGATAGATAATTTAATAAGAAGTTTCGGACACACCCCACTTCGAACGCCACCCTATATGTGTCAGTTTAATCCCATAGAGATGATTTGGGCACAAGTAAAATTTTTCATTAGAAGCCATAATACAAGCGGCGAATTTACTATAAAAAAACTAGATGAAATTTCTAATAAGGCCATCGCTTCAGTAAGTGCCAGTGACTGGCAAAAGGTTATTGGACATGTTATAAAAATTGAAGATGAATATTGGGAAAAAGACAGTCTCATTCAAGAAATACAGGAAGAAATAATAATCAACATAGGAGGTGAAAGTGATAGCAATGACAGTTCCTCAGACAGTGATCATGACTCTAATCAGGATTGAAACTATACTAGATTGGCTACCTTTTAGAATTTTTAGATATTCATTTATTATACTATTGGTTTGTGGCTTTTAGTATCTCAGTAGAAAGTCTAATTCTATGTGTTGTTTATGGGTTATTTCATCAAGAAATTACTTTTTGTTTTCCTATATTTTTCTATTCAGTCAGATATTTTTGACTTGTTGTATTCTATTTTAGAAGAATGCATAATTTGTTTTGCTGTTCAATCATAATGCGTACATAGGAATATTACTTGTTGCCTAAAAAATATATTTATTTTGTTCTCAATATTCAGTGTTTGTGTATATTTATTTCTTATAATGTATGTTTGGTATCACGTCATTATGAATCGCAAAAAAATATTAATACTACCAGTTGTAATAAAATATAAATTCAATTAATAATTCAAGTCTCTCCGATCTCCGCCTATGACTCCATATAAAATCGTCTAATGGTAAGGTTTTTTCATCGCATTTCCCCCTTTCGTCCCTAGCAATCTTTGGCTGGTCGATCAATAGTGTGAAGTATTCGTTTTTCATAAGTGTAAAAGAAATAGGTAAGAAGTAGGAAATAGGTAATGGCACACTTCGAATCAATCTACCCAACACATTTTCTTGATCCTAATTATAATATAATAATGTTATTTTTTTCAGAGTATTTAAAATTGCTGCAGCATTTACGATATTGTTAGTTTTAGTTAACATTGTGTCTGTGTCTATGAAAACGTATTCTATTGGATATATTCCCACGTAAGTAATAGTTTATATAGTATGTATATGGTATAAATATGCGTCTTTGGATTCCTCAAATAATCACTCACACGATAATATTATTAAGTATGTCTTTTTAAAAAACGTTCCACAAGGTCCATAAAATGTATGATAAATATGTAGAAAAACTGGTTGTTACCAGCTAGCAAACATTGAAAAATCGATCATGACTATTATGTACCCACCCCATTTTGAGAATTATGCAATGTCGTAAAATTTTTAGTGACGTTTCTTAGGAACAACTTGGAGGAAACATTTTATGTTTAATCTACAGATTTCCTGAGAAAACATATTTTGTTTTAGGATGGATGAACAATTTGCTCAACTAGATGCTATCTATGACCTGCCGTGGCACAGAATTGGACCATACCTTGTCGGAGTAATAACGGCCTACTTCCTAAAAGTGAGGCTTCAAAACAAGCTAAGCTTACAAAGGGTTAGTACATCAAGATGCTATATACATATTTTAAAATCACTGGCGATTTGGAAATCCAAACCTGTCATTTTTATGAAATTGTACTGCTATTAGTAACCAACCCAAACCGGACTTTCAGCCGAAATCAAAAATCTTTCGGCTTCTGTCCTAGTTTCTGTTGAAACCGAAACTTCTTAGACTGATGTACATAATTGCATGGAATCTGGAGGATCGCATAATTATAGGAACACTTATAATGTGTTTTTCTTGCTCAATAAGGTTTCAAGGAATTAAATACTAAAGTTAATTTGTGAAGTAAACTTACAGTATATTACATACCTTTGCTGTGAAATGGACCAGTAGTGGCCGTGCAGTTTATGCGATAGGTGCGATCAATAATGGCCTAATCAAATGAGCTAAGAGAATCTTACTTCAGTACTAAAACTTTAGATCAGTACATTTAATTTAGATATATCCACTGATTAGCGTCACATTTCCTAAACCTATATTAACGATAGTGATGTTTCCTATTTATTTTGTAAATACTATGAAACATCTACTAGCCTGCTGTCAGGTTGAGAAGATTAAAGTCAAACGTAACGGGAATAAGATTTGGGCTAGGCCTTTACCGTTTTCAAGGGAAGTCATATACTAACTCTGACTAATTGTGTGTTCTTTTTGCTAGCACTAAAAGCAGTTTTCCAATATTGTTCCGATCTTAGAGAAGGATAATTACACAACGATTAATATCCAACATCAGCCATTTCTCACTCGTATTCAAATATTTCATGATATAAAGATTGGTTTTCAGAATGACATAATGATATAATCACAATATAATTTAAAATAACATGAATTATTTACATAAGTGTTTTTTGTTTTTCATTTTTCACCTAGAGAGAGAAAAGTTGGCACATTACGGTCATAATTTTTCAGTGAAAGATCTATTTTACTTCACAAAATGCAATTGTAATATGTAGCAAACAAACATCCCAGTACAGCTAGACGATTTGTGGACGAAAACAAAACTGGTCAAATCTCTTTTTTTTGGCTGAAACTTAGTCGGTCGCTAATTGATGTACTCGTACCTTGATGCGAAAATTTCTTTGCTAGATCTGAATCGTTGAGAGATTTACCTAAACGTGAATCCTACTACCACCACTGCCCCCCTAGACAGATCCCTAAGTCCGCCCCTGTTTAAAATTGATGAAATATTTATTAAATATATTTTTGTAAAATTTGTTCGACATTATAAAAGATTGAATTTATTATTCTTTAACATTTCTTTTTACAGAGTACAAGGATATTTCTGTGGACAATATTCCCACTGCTAAATTTATGGATAATATTCACGATATACACCAGACAAATATCAATAGAATATTCAGCTTTTTACATGGGTACATCTAGAGTGCTGTGGGGTATTGGAATATCATGGATCTTGATTGCCTGCTGTACGGGGAATGCGCGTAGGTGGAATTTTCTATTTATCAAATACTATGAAGGAATGCCACATATTGCATGATTGTTAATTTTATATTATTTCAAATTATCATAATTCCTGAAGTGGACATTTTTGCTTTCAATCTCTATAACATACAGTATGCTATCACGAGTAAAACATCGGTGCAACATTCTGCATAAAATACAGTATAATCCAGCATACGTGTGTAGGCAATAAATACTATATTTATCTATTGATCCAACATGATTTTCAGCACTCCTAAACAAGTTCCTGTCCTTCAAGGGATTCATACCTCTCAGTAGGATGACGTACTGTGCATACCTGCTGAATCCTTTAACTGCCCAAATTATGTTTTTGGGATCTGAGACGGCATTTAGTTTAAAGGCTGGTATGGTGAGTAAGACTGTCTAAAGGAACTTTTATTTACCAACGCGAAATTAAATCTTATTTTTCTTCGTACTTCTATAAACTACTGCCAGCTATTTTTCAATGCTAAGTAGTACATGGATCGATTTGATCTTGGATTTGAAATTATTCCCTAAAATTCAAACATTATACTTTTGTAGCATACATCTTTTTACACCTTGCGGTATTAGCTATCCGCACAGGATTTATTGTTTGATATACTTTCAGACATTGTCTATCTGCGCAGTATCTCTGAACACATTCTACATGTCCTACCTATACTGTTTAATGTTCGAGTGTCCATTTGTCCGTCTAACAAAGATGGCGTTGACAAAAGTGATGGGAAAACGTAGTGGCACACAAAGCAACAGAACTGATGATCAGACACAGAAAAACATTGGCGACAAGACGAACAACGACATAACAACAAACGAAAATAGTTAATTGTGATTTTGTTGAATATGGTTAGAATGAAATTTTAAGATAGATTGTTTTTGTGACGTCACACACTTAACAGCAATCAAATGACACATCGTAGTAATGTAGCTCCCTAAAAAATCCAATTAGTTTCCCGGTGGGTTTCTATGACCTCAAAAGCCTGGCACACGCTGCGAGAGGCTGCCGCGGGCAGTCGTGTGTGTATTCATTCGCAGAATATACGTTTTTAATAGTCCGTTATTCTCGGCCGCAGATGCTGAAGTGCTAAGCAGTATTGAATATGAAAAAGTTTCTCAGTTCAAGGTACTTCCGAAGATAAACGGTTTTTTCAAAAATCTTTTTAATTTTTACCCGACTTTACTCGAGGTAGGATATTTTAATAACTTGCACATTATCTTTGCACTTTGCGCGGTATAATAAGAATTTCAATATGACGTTTCGTCTCGTGTCCTCAATAATCAACAGTTATCCTTAAGAAGGCTATATTGGATGTTTTCACAGGTGGATATATTGATTATTTAGGCAGGGATATTCAAATTTAAATATGTCCTGCATTCATCAGATGTGTGGAGTAACACTAAGTTAAAACGGAAGGGGGAGAACTCATTCAACTTTCCAGAAATGCCTCTTAATGTCCCAATCCTGAAACGATATTTTCATTTCACCCGGTATATACAGTATTTCACAACTTATCCGACAAATTTTAACCACATATGAACTGTTACGAAAGAACTTGATTTCTCAAAAAAAAAAATGTTATAAAAGTCCTACAGAAATCGAGATAATAAAATAATACAGCTTAACAGTTCACTTACTTATAAAAGCTGTGCAAAATTGTTTCCATTGACTGCAGTTGGGCCTCATGTAATATGCGCCACGCTGTTGCATGTGACACATCGCGACCTGTTGGGCTAAGAGTGCCGTGTGCTTATTCCCGAATTTTCTTCCATATTATCCAAAAATTTCGTCTTCGGCATTTAAAACGCGTTGTGTGCGAACCCGACCTCCATCCACTCCACGTCTGGGGCGCAAATCTCCACTAGCACGTGCACGTAAAACAATTGATCTAAATGTTTCGTAATGTGGTATGTGCCTGTTCGGAAATCGGTGTGCATACAAACGAGAATGCGCTCGCGAATTTTGCCCTGCTTCTCCGTACGCTGAACGAATCTCCACTAACTCCTCATTAGTGTACACGCGTGCCAGTTTTATAAATAAATAACTAAAAACAAAAATCGACCGTTCTTCATTCAGATCACCCACGATACAGATTAAACCTTATTTACACGTTCTTGTCAGTATGAAAAACGCAAAAACGAATTTTGAAAGCAATTTGTCGATCACTCTAAATACGACCTAGACAATGAACTTCAGAGCTCGTTTGGAGGTCAGCTTTGTAAATGCAAATAGCAGCTACCATTTTTGGCAGAAGGTTCGTGTGGGGCAAAATATGTCATAGAGTTAATTTTCCGTTTAACAATTATGTTTAAAATTTTATTTTATTTTTTTATCCTATTAAACTATTAAATACCAGAACATTCTGAAAACCATACATTTTTTTCAAAAAGGTTTCAAGAAATGTTTTGAGGGTATCATTCAAACAGCAACCACCATTTTTGACAATATATTCGTGTCGAACTTGATATTTTCATACATGAGGTCAAGGGATCATACGTGGTTCAATCAGTCTGACCTACTGTAACGTCTGGAAAGTACACGTACATCCCGAAAAGAAAGGTTTTTAAAGACCTTAAAAGCAATTCGTCCATCACTCTAAATATGACCTAGAGGTCATTTGGAGGTCACTTTTGTAAATTCAAATAGCAACTACCATTTTTGACCGCAGAGTAGTGTCGAGCTTCAGATTCTACATCATAATTCTTTGTCACACATGAGGTCAAGTAGTCATGAGCGTTCAATCAGCATGACCTACTGTAACGTCTGAGAAATACACGAACACTTTGAAAACGTGGCGACCACGCACTTTTCCTCACTCTGTATCGTCAGAGTACAGTACAGGTCATACAATGATTTCTTTTTGATCTTTTAAGACGTAGACTATTACTAATCACTAATGACCAATTGACCTCATGTATGATGTATGATGATAACTCCCGAGCTCGACACGAACCTACTGTCAAAAATAGTTATTGCTGTTTGAGTTTACAAATTTGACCTCCAAATGACCTCTTGTTGACCTATTGTTTAGGTCATATCTGAGGTCATACACAAATAACATATTTGATACCATGAAACTTTTCTCAGAACCTTTTTGGGGTTGCTATTTGAATTTAAAAAATTGACCTAAAAATGACCCCTGAGGTCATTGTTAAGGTCATATCTGATGACACCGACACATTGTTTTTTGATACCCCGAGACTTAGAACCTTTTTTACATAAATGCAAGGTTGCCAAGCTTTTGGGGTATGAGGGTATTTAATAGACATAGCTAACCAAGCGCGCCCAGCGGTCAGCGCTTGAACTAAAGAATGTATATATCTCAGTTCTTGCGACCGCCACTAGGAGCGTTACTTGTTATTATTATTATTATTAAGCAACAAATTTGAGTTGAGTACAAGTACTATAACCATATTAGCTGTTTGATCGCCAATGAGAGTGCGAGTAAAGAATAATCAAAAAATTATTTCGCGAACTAGCTGTAGAATGCTTGGAGGCCGAACGTATTGTTAGAAAGTATTACAACAGCAATTGTTGTAAATTTTTGTGATATATATTGTTATTAGTAGCGTGAAAATAAGTATGTATACATCACGATTGTTGAATGTGATGTTGCGGATATATTGGTTTTGACAATATTATTTATTGTAAATTATTATTTACTGCGTATTAAATACATATTTATTTTAAATGTAAAACTGGATTTTACTGTAATATACTTTTTAGTATGTATTTTGTATTTTTTCTTCAATTCATTTTGTGTGTATATTCAAAGAGGTGGTAGACAAGGAACAGTCGACCGAGGCGGTACCACACAGTAGCTTTTTCCATGGTGTCTTAGGAATGTCCGCTTGTTTCCACGCACTCGAATATGTTCCCCAACAAAGAAATTAATGATGATGGATCCATGGAGCACTAAAAATTCCGGACGTAAACTCACTCAATTTTCAGTGGAGGGTGGACTCAAAGAAACAACATCGATGATAAAATTTGTTTCACGAACATCTGCAACATTGATATTGTTCAACACCACCTGCAGTCTAATCGTCCCGCCATGTTTTTCTTGGCGGAGATCAAAATCTCAGTTCTGCACCGATTCATCATCTTGGCTTCCCAAATTACGAGGTGCACTCCAATCTGAGAAAGAACGGGAGAGCTGTGGATTTTGTCCGCAGCAGCCTTTCCTGCTTCAGAGACATTTTTTTTTTTTTTTTTTTTGGAATCAGACAGAACATCCCTCATAGTTATTGGCTGCCTTTATCGCTCTCCCTCGGGCCATAACTGGGACGACCTACTTCAATAATTCGCTGTCAAGATCGACTTCCTAAACATCAATCACCCCGCTTCAGAGGTAGTTCTCCTCGGTGATCTCAATGCCCATAATGAGCTCTGGTCGGGCTCAAACAAGACCGGTGCAGCTGGTTGTACTGCTGAAGTGTTCCCATAACTCAAGGACTGACCCAGCTGGAGACGAGCCCTACTCTCTTCTCCGGCGTTTCGTCATACGCCAGTTGCTCGTTAGATCGCTTTCTGACCACGCATCCTGCAGCACTACTGTCCTGTCCTGTCTCCCCTGAGTAACTCGGACCACGGTGTTATGGAGGCACAAAACTACTACAAATTTGCTCATGTCCAACCAACGGCGGATCCAGGATTTGTGTTTGGGGGGGGTCAAAAACTTGTTATAGGAAGATGTTCTTCTCATCTTTGGGGGGAGGGGGGGTTTGACATCAGTGCCTCTTAAAAACTTGACAGGCAGACTTATGGCAGATGACAACCCTACTCTTGTACACTTTAGGGTACTGCCTAAAAGTGATTATAATATTAAATCTAATTTAAAAATGAACAATTTATTGTTAAATAACAACATGAATTCTTCTTTTTTGTCTTCCTGCGAATCGATTAATATTAATACTTACCATGTCCTTTGAATCCAGTGCAACAACTTTTTTGTGGTTATGTCCGTCAGTTTGAATAAGAAAATTTCCCTTTCATTTCTTATGAAATTTTTTGAAAAATGACTATTTCATTTCTAAAAAAATGACCGAATGACCCTTTTATTTCTCAAGGAGTGGAGGGGTTATATTTTCATTTTGTGTTTACAGTGATATATTATTACCTGGCAAAAAATATGCAGTAAATAAATATCTTCGTGATATGCATTTTTTTATTTGATGACATATCTATTTTCTTCATGATAATATCGTTAAGACATTTTTCGAATGTATTATCAATGTCATAGAAGATGAAATTTCAAGAGTGGGAGCTTCTGCCGAAGATATAATGATTCCAAGATCTCTCCTTTCCTCCATGAACTGGACCTTTTTCCTCAATTTGTTATGGTGGCATTCAATATTGAGCGTTATGAATACTGTGCAAGTTCAAATGCAAAAGAAAGAAATAGACTTGATGATGGCTCAAAAGGTGCATTTCAGCAGCATTAAAAAAATTTGAGGAGCGAGAAAGCACATACGATAATTTTGTTCTGAAGGCAAATAATAAATGGGAAGAGATGGAATGGGAAAATCCTGGTTTTCCCATTGTCAGAAAGAGGAAAATCAAAAAAATTTAGACGAAAAAGCTGCCAGTATACAGGGTGACTTGTAATGTCACGTATTCCTGTTAAGGGGTGACAAATTAGGTCAAAAGCAATCGATTTTGTCTTATCCAAAAGTTAACCATTTTATGAGTTATTTGAATTTTAAGTTTTTTATTTTTTATTCCGATTTCAGACGGTTAAAATTGAAACAAAAAAACTGCATGCTTGATTTTGAGTTTTTTGTTATCGTCGCATAGCAGACATTCCAATAGTTCATAATAAGTAATAAAATGTTGAAAAGCTACAAACGTTTTAAAATTACGCTTTTTAAATGTATCATTTTCATTATTTTTACTAACTTATTCAATAAAAAATGCAAATTTCTGAAAAAAATCTCCTAGTAATGAAATGTGCAAATTATGCAAATACTATCTCTATCTAACAAGCTTTCATTTGAGGTATTAAGCGTTCAATTATCTGAAATACATGCAGAGAAACAACGTCACCCACAGAGGCTGGATTTTTAAGGAATTTGTATTACCTGTTTGAACAAGTCGTTACTGTCCTCAAAAGGACTCGCATGCCATGATTGTTTTATGGCGGCGGCTCGACGAGGAAGCGAGCGAGAAGAGCTGACTTAGTGGAGGAGTGAGAGAAAGAGAGCTGTTATTATTTATCATTGTAGTTACGCCATCGCCGCACGCCGAGTGAGAATTAGGTTTAGTTGGTAAGTTGGTATCAACTACTCCGTACGCACACACCGTTTTACGCACGATTATTATTTTCCAGTTTCCCAGTTCATTTCGAGTGGTTTCTTTATCATCCTGGCAGACGCAGAAGATCCGCCAGGACCTCGCCATAGCGAGCACGGGCAAACTTTTACAAACGAAGAATACGCAGGCATAATGTTCTGTTCTGGACTTTGTAACGGCGATTCTGCAGCTGCCCGCCGTGAATATCGGCAACGTGTCCCGAATCGCCGAACACCTTATGTTACTGTGTTTGACTCTGTGTCTCGGCGCATCCGCCAAACCGGACGTGTTCAAAGGCAACATAGTGATGCTGGTCGACCCCGAGTCTATCCTCCTGAAGATGAAGAGGAAATCCTTCGTGTGTTTCAGGAAGACCCTACTACGTCTACGCGCATTGTGGCTGCTCAGTTGGGTATATCACAATACAAAGTATGGTTTACTGTGCATATTGCAAGATTATACCCTTATCACTACACGCCTGTGCATGTGATTGAAGAGGGCGATCCTGCAAGACGATTAGATTTCTGCAGGTACATCTTTCATGCAGATACAGAAGATCCAGACTATTTTAAGAAAATTCTGTGGACCGATGAATCGGACGGGATCACTAACTACCATAATGCTCATTACTGGGCTGGTAAAGAAGCTTTAAACCCCCGAAAAATAAGACCGACGGGGTCTCAGAGCCGGTTTTCAGTCAATGTGTCGATGGGCATTATTGATGGATATTTAATTGGACCTCATTTTCTGCCCGCCAATTTAAATGGAGAAGTAGTACGGGCGTATTTAGACTCTAAATTTCCAAATCAATGGATTGGCAGAGGCGGGCCCATTGCCTGACCAGCAAGAGGCCCAGATCTCACACAGATGGATTACTATGTGTGGGGACATATGAAAAGCCTGGTGTTCGATGTTTCGCCCGTACCAACGCGCGATGAATTAATTACAAGGATAATCAGTGCAACAGACCAAATAAAAAGCCGCTTAACAACTAGAGTTACCAAAAATGAATTACGTAAGAGAATGCGGGCGTGTATTCGTAACAGGGGATTACAATTTGAGCAGAATCTGTAAAATACTAAAGGAAATGTAATTAAATAAAACTGTAATTAAAATAAATGCCTTTTATTTATCCTACGTAATTATCGTTCGTACAACTTGACTCATCTTTTTTTAATTTTATGTCTTTGTACTTGAGTTAGTTGTAACTTTTATACCTCAAATGAAAGCTTGTTAGATAGAGATATTATTTACATAATTTGCACATTTCATTACTAGGAGATTTTTTACAGAAAATTGCATTTTTTATCAAATAAGTTAGTAAAAAATAAGAAAATCATACATTACAAAAGCGTAATTTTTGTAAGTTTTCAACATTTTATTACTTATTATGAACTATTGGAATGTCCGCTATGCGACGATAACAAAAAACTCAAAATCAAACATGTATTTTTTTTGTATTTCAAATTTAACCGTCTGATATCGGAATAAAAAATAAAATTCAAATAACTCAAAAACGGTTAACTTCTGGATAGGACATTATAGAACAAAATCGGTTGCTTTTGACCTAATCTATCACCCCTTAACAGGAATACGTGACATTACAAGTCACCCTGCATATCCTGTAGTAATGCACGTTATTTAACGTATTTTAGTGCTGTTCACCAAGTTTGTATTCAATGAAATATTAATCACGGCAAACCTGACAACAACTATCGATCATATTTGTTTTTTTTTTTCTTACTTATAATTTTATACAAATTCTATAAATAGCGTGCACTAAAAATCTGACTCGAAGCCCTTTATTTATCGGTAGCATCCGTGATAACTTTTAAACTCTATTATTCACAAGAAGTTTGCTGGTGAATCATCAAGTTTAATTTACTTCAAAAAATTACGATGCGCATTACAACCTGGAAAAAAACGGAAAAACCGCGTCGACGTCGCCCGCCCCGAACCTCTAGCGTCACGTGACCTTCAACCCTAAAACAATCGATCACCGCTTAATATAGTCGATGATGCAGCAAATGTGTTTGACTTATCCAACCAACCAAAAGTCATATTCACTATGGAAGAGACTTAAAGTTTTGGAAATTTTTGGAAGACATTCACATGTAATTATTACTAATAAAGATTGGAAATGCTGTTTGCCCTATACTTTTCGATAATCGCTAGTGTAAAGTATCCAGGGTCTCCCGCCCGACGGAATAATGTCTCTAAACAAAAACTTCTGAAAGAAAGCTATTAGTGGGGTGTATCATGGTTATACATGGTGCTTATGGGCACTTCAATAGAATATTCATAATTTTTCTGGGTGTCAAAATTTGCAACCACGTGTCAAAGGTGATTTTTTTAAAATGGGTTGCCCTAATTTTTCCATACTACATATGGAAGAAGATTTATAACATGTT